AGGAAGAGGCTGAGACAGCAACAGAAGAGGAAGCAGGAGGAGCCTGAGACCTTTCTTGGTTTTTCAGGTGCCTACTCCACTGCAGCTCGTGCTTTGCATGTAGATGCCTGGTCATGCAGGTTGCGCTCAGGTTTAGAACATTTATGCCTCGCTTCAGACTCTGATTGCACAGCGTGCAAACCACTTGTGTCTTGTCGTCAGGAAACTGACACGCCAGAGAACTCCTTGGAACTGGCTTTGGTGTGTTTGGTCCTTGGGTGCGGTGGGCAGTAGCAGGCGTACTGTCTAGGGGACGGCCACTCAGCTTTTGCACCCTGCTCCATCTTATGCTGTGCTGGTGCCTCTGTGCAACCACCGTCTCTTCCTCCAAACGGCACCTGTCACTCGCATGACTCATCATCCTCCACATCATCTTCCACCCACTCCTCAACCCTGCCCTCCTTGCTGGTCTGCACACTGCAGAAAGCCACAGCAGTTGGCACCTGTGTTTTTCCAGCATGTAAAGTTCACTAAGAATAAATACTGAAATGGCAAACACTATAATTGGTACAGCCTGTAGATTAGTGATAAAGATTATGGTCCCAGGTGTGTCCTGGAGTCTTCCCAGTGTAAGTAGTCAGCTTGCTATTTGACAACTTACCTGGGTTCCACTGGGTGTTGGTAGCACCTGGGGGCGTGCTGGTAACTTCATCTCATGGAAAGTTGTCAAGTTGCAGTGGTAATGCTGCGTGGAGTGTTAAAGATTCAAAGTGCATGTAATCTAAATTATATCTCCAAATATTTAATATACAGTATAATGGCAACCTATGTAAAGCTTGTGCGGTATACTTCAATAACTCATTATTCTTTTGCAGGCCAACAGAATGACAAACATGCTTCAGAGTTGGGTTTTTCATTTTTTTTAAGCTTGTTTTTTGATATTTATACACTTTTAAAAATATTTTTTTATTTAGATGTTTAAAATCACTGAAAAATTTAAATTGAAAAGTCTGCAAAGGACATATTGAAATTGTTTTAGAATTGTATCCAGGCAAAAGTTATCCCTATAAACTGACCTCTCAGTTTGACTTGTGAGGGTGTTTTGGATCAAAGAAAACTTTGATTATTTGTCTATCTACACCTTCCAAATTGATTAATTAATGCGTGCACGCTTTCCCTAGAAGTAATTCACACCGGAGACAAAGTTTCTGATCAGTGAAAAACCCAGGAATGCTTTATTCCCCGGAGTGGGGGCTCCTTCTTAAAGCAAAAATACGTCACAGTTTAAACATACAGTATACATTCACCAATTGGTTAACAGAGAAAGGGGGCTCTTGTTTAAACCCCCCTACAGAATGGAGCCTTTTAAGGTGCCATTCATGCCATTCATGTAGTGTCATCATTACACACTTTTGGATACACGATGGGAGGGGGAGTGAGTGGTATCTATCAGTTCTAAACCAATGATCCTCCATTTAGCTATATATGGCATATAGCTGTTAACTGGCACAAAGGTAGTGGGGGGGGGAGGCTAGCAGGATGTGAGGAATTTACATAGTAAACAGCAGCTGACCACATTGTAGGGGGGGAAGGGAATATTTACTCTAGAAGCCAGTTTTAACATAGTGAACAGAGAATAAATAGACATTAGTAAATAGCCATTTTATTTTAATTCATCTGTCCATAACAGTCCCCCCTTAAAATGGCAATTTTTACTAAAACTACTATCTCTCATTCTAATACTGTCCCTATAGAAAAATAACAAAAGGCTATCTTGCACATCTGTCTGAACAGGCCTCGAACACTTCACTGCGCGGGTACCCCATAGCAGCTTGTCCACTACTTCTCCCGCGGCAGACTTCTGCCCGTAGAGACAGACGCTATCCCTAAATGTCCTTAAGAGGAAGTAGCTGTTGATTTAGTGCGGTGGGACTGTAAGGGTGTATGTGGTGTATCACGGTCGATATCGTCAATCTCTTGGTGAAGGAAGGTCGGGGTGGTCTGGTCGATTGCCTGATCAACTGTCTTTTGTAGGCATTTCTTAAGACAGGGTAACACACAACAAACAAGAAGAGCGAGGATGATTATCGTTATTAAAATGGCAACACCTATTTGGGCCAGAGCACCTTGCCATTCAGACATCCATCCAAACCATCTTTCCCATGGATCTGTGGCCCCAGAATTTCGTTTCAGTTCATTGGACAAACTCTTTAACTTTTCTATTGCCAACGTTACCTTACCATTAGGGCCTGTATTATCTGGAATATAGGTACAGCATGTCATGGTGTCTGGGAGTATTTTACATACTCTCCCTTTTTCTGCTAAAATCATTTCCAAGCTTATTCTATTCTGGAAGGTCATCTGAGAGATAGTTTGTAACCGCCCTATCCCACCATATATCCCATAACAAGTATAGTTCCCGGGCTATATAGTAATGCCTTCGTCTGGGTTAATATTTTTAGTAATGATTGGGTATTAAGTTTCCATGACTCGCATGCTGACCGCTTAGGTTTAAATACAGTGTAGAGACTTAAAACGCATACTTCATATCCGGAGGAAGGTTCAGGGATACTGTACCTGGGTGAGGCCTCGCTCCTCTGCAGACATAGCAGTTAGACTTGTTATGTTTAGTAGCATTGTATTTCATCCATTCAAGTCACAAGTTAGTGTCAGAGAAACCTGTCTCTACAGCCCTCTTATCCTCAAATATGGGATGACTACCATGTCTTTTAAAGTCCTAATGTGTGGTTTGAGGGGATTAACAGTCATGTGCGTGGCACCTACCCATTCAGCTGAGTCATACATGTCCTGTAAGAAAAAGGTCTCCTGTTTATTGTATAAACCTCTTCCCTTCCAATTCAGATTTTATTAGCCGTAATGCTTGGGAGAATAGATTCAAACTTAGTTTCTTACCTTAAAATTATTTGGTACCCCCCTTGACACCCCTATGGCATTAATATACATATATATATATATGTGTGGGTAAAACCACCCTTTATAGGGGTACTCCTTTTTGTCCTGAAGCATGAATGAGGTGTGTCAAGAGTACCTTGGGGATTGTCATGTGTTATGTGTATGGACATAATAACCTAGGCTAGGGCACATTTACTTATTCTTAGAAATCTTGTCTCATGCTACCCTAGTACTGGCAGATTCAGATCATTTAAACATTCAATATTAATATCACCACAAACTCAAGATAAGCAGATGATCTTGAAGAAGCTTTGACTGTGCGTATGGCACCTCAGACGTGAGGGCTGCAGGGTAAGGAGTATGTTTGTTTCTCTTTAGTTTCACGAGGTCCCCTTTTGGGGTATTCAGCTTTCCATCGATGGCAGGTGGTCAGGCATTATTATGGCCATCAAAACACCCACTTGTTGATATTTATTTATTTATTTTCAACAAGTATCTTTGTTCTCTAAGAATGGAGTTTCAAAAAGGGTTGTCAAGATCAACAAATGTTACTTCACATGATGCAGAGGCAGGCTTGATTCTGGAATGATGAACCCACGGGGTGATCTCTGTATCTTTCACGGTGCACTACTCAGCATGTGGTCTTGGTTATCACTTTGGTGGCTGGATAGGCCTCTGGCCATCCTGAAAACATGTCTGCTATAATTAGTGCATATTTGAATCAACCATTCTTTGGCATTCTGGCGACTTGACTCCTCTGGAAGAGATAATGAGGTTTGGCTAGATGCTTGGGGCTTTCATCCATTCTTCTTGAGTTGCCCTTGGCACAAATGGCACAAGATTTACAGTAACTGTTGGTCAGAGAGGCAATTCCTGGTACTTCAGAGTATTTATTGATCAAAAGAGTTCATGAGGGTTCTGGACAGATGCTCCGTAGGCCCACTGGACCACTGCTGAGTATATGTTCTTGGGCAAGTATAACTTGAGATTGTTGAAGTACAGCCTGTCTTTAAGAGTTGCCCCTTTCTGTTTCCAGCTTGTGGTTTGTTTGTTTTTTTCTTTCTTTCCAGGGTCAGTAGCTTGCTTGTTATTCCTTCGGGAGCTTGATGTCTGTGGGTAGGATCTTACATGGTGAATATGGGAGTTTCTTCAGCAGACACTTTTCTGTCCACTTCCCTTAGTGCACTTACAACTTTTTGAACAACTTAGTCAGCCAGAGAGCTGCCACATGCTTCCTCTGAGTTCAGTCTTCCTTCAGAGATCTTGCATGGTGTGATGGGAGTCTATAGCTCAGCTTCTTGTGCAGACATTGTTGAGGTGAGATACTTGGTCCACTGTAGTGACAGCAAATCCGGAACAGAACATAAGAAAAAGGCTAAAAAAAAAAATAATAGTCAGTGTCTTATCATTTCCCCCCTTGGGAAGTGGCAGAAGAGTGGCCAGGTAAATAGAGTATCATCCCTGCAGGGTGACATTATCCTGCACAGAATTCGTCCATCACAAGGAGAGGTGGGATATTGCATGGAAAGTCTCAGGTAACCAGGGCAACATTCGACACCAGAGCCTTAACCTGTTAGGGAATAGTAAGAGCTTGGACAGGCTTTGGGGCCTGTATAATTCAGGTAAAGGTATTGGGGGAACTAGCTAGGACCCTTGCCTCTTGGTCAGGTTTCACTGTGTGGAACAAAATGAATAATAAGGTGATAGGGGCCTGCAAGTGGGGGAAGGACATCTGCACCTAGCAGATTAATTGGACAGGTGAAGGTAACCACAAAGCAAGGCTTAGTTAACAGGCTACTCCAAGGAGAGCCATCTACACTTATGCAGGAGACAACAATGTTAGACAGGAATGAGGAGTCAGGCAGGCCTTGCTTGGTACAAATAGATGTCATGTGGCCTGCTATACAAGGCTGCATATAGTTATTGGGCATGGGCCTTACTATGTACTAAAACTTAAGTTAAAAGAAAATTTGGGACAACCTGAAGTGATGCTTCTCCACAGATGCTAACTCATCGTTGATGACATTGTTAATACAGGTAGCCTGATCAGCCAATTTATCTTAGGCTTAAACAAGTCACACCATGTAGTGGAATGGGTCATTAGGATTCGGGAAATTCTACAGTAAAAGGGCATAGTAAGGATGTACGCGATGTTACTTTAGGAGTAGGCGTGGCTGTGGATAGGGGGAAATCAGCCTTATCCATTCCCATATATTATTCCTTTTGTCTTCAGTATATCCAAACCATGTGTATGTCCAGGCGTTGCAATATACAGTAATCCATTATCAGTCATGATATTAAAATCTCATTCTCATTAATTAAATCAAAGATTTTAAATCAACCTCAGAAGTAACAACATTGTTTTTACCTTCTGTAAAATGATTGGAGTTACTGTATAATTGCATACACCCAATATAACATACATTGCATGTTCCTCACTGCTACATTAGTGTATTTCATTCTGCCATATTTGCAAACTTGATGTACATTTTTATTTTAATTAATTAACCTAATACTTTCTTAAAATACATATAAAACAATGAAAAAACAGTTCAGACTAACATTTCATTAAAACAAACTAACATAGAACTCTATTTTTGGCTGTTCTTAATTCTGGAATCAGCCTGTGTACCTCTGTTGGCAGACATATCCATGCTCATTCCCTAAACTGATCATATCTCTTGAAGTTATCTGATTCTTATAACTTTCTGTGTTACGCTGCATTGCTTGTCTGTCTCCTAATTTCGATTTAGCTAAAATTGCTTTTATTTGTCTGATTATAAGTTTACAAGGAAAGGCTTTAATTGATTTATCTCCACATGTATTTTCTCTGTCAAAATTTTCAATCAACAAATTTAATTTCTCATTTGCTTTTGATTTGATATCTCGGATAAAATATCTGCAAGATCTTAAATAATGTTGTTTATTGCACCAAAAACAAATAACTTTAGGAGTTATATTCTGCCCTATATTATCAACTGCCCTATATTTAGTTGAATAAATTGGGAGGGGCTCAGCTGTCTGTATCACTCTACACTCTGTCCTAGAAGAAGAAGAAGAAGGAGGGGGACGGGGGCTGTAACATCTGCACTTCTTTCTCTGCCTAAAGCCACAAGTCGTTTTAACCCCTTCATTCTTGGTTTCCCTCCTTAAGTTATCCAAGAACAAAGCTACTTCTGTCAAAGTGCTTTTTTCTCTAGCTACCACAATTGCAGTTGGATCTAGATCTTGAAATTTTTTCACAAATTCATTAATTAACTGATCTTCAGAAAAATCAGCAACAAGTCTATATGCATTTTCAAATTTTACAAGAAAACTAAATATATCCTCCCCCTTGTGTGGTTTTAGTTTTTCCAACATTTCAGTGTCTGCAAAATCATTCCCTGTTGTTAATTTTATTAATTGTGTTAATCTGTCTCGCTTATTTCCATATATTATTTCACCATTGTCCTCAAATTTTACAATCGCGGTCAGCCTACATGCCATTTGAGTCGGCAGCCATATTTGAAATAGTCTATTCCTTTGTACGTCATTTAGGCTGTATTTGTCTAAATTAGACTCAAACATTTCAGCATTAGTGAATGCATCCACTGACGTGTCACAAACTGGAATACATTTCACAATTTTCATTAATTGTTCATGGATCTTCAAATTAAGTTTTGCAGCTCTGTCTTGAAATTTATATTTCTGCAAATCACTCTGTGAGGATACATTTTCAGTATCTATTGGTTCTGGGATTAGATTCTGTGCCTGTATTTTTCTTGTATTAACACACACTAGCTTTACTTCATTTCTAAGCTGGCAAATAAGATCATTTCTTAGTTCAACTCTATCCTCTAATTCACAAACTGTTTCTGACAATGTGCTCTCTGTTACATTGTTACACTGTTCATTTAAATCTGATTTGTCTTCTGTTAACCCATTCAAATCTACTTCTTTTTCTGATGATTCTAAATTTTCTTGATCTGCATTTCGTTTACAAATCAATGCATTGTAAGTACAGACTAGTTTCATAACATTTCTGATCTTTTGTTTTTTTTTCTTATTAACAAACAATTTCTTGTCAATTTCACTATTGGCAATTTCACATTGTGTGTATAAAGATTGCCACAAAACAGCATCTGAATAGCTGCTATTAAATGCAAACTGCAATTTACTTTTCTCTGCGATATTCATTTATAAATTCCACAATTCATTTGTTCCAACAAAATCTAACTTTCCTTATTCCAACATGCCAATAACCTCTTGCTTAACAACATATACAAGATTACACAAAGTTCCTAACTAGGTTATTCGTCCAGCAAATATACCTTGTTTCCCTCACATTCCTCACTGAGTTTACAAGCATTTCACCCATTCACCCCACCCCCCTGTAGCCAATACTCATAACAGTCAGAGCAAGAGAAAGCGACAAAGAAGGAGGGGGGAGGAGGGAGGAAGACTTGCAAGCACAAAGTTTTTTAACCATGTGATTGCCTAAGCACAGCTCTCCTTAGGACAAAAGATAGAATAGGAGAGTAACGATACAAATTGTATAGATTACAATTAACATATATGGTACCCAACAAGACATACACAGACAAAAGCACAAAATACAGATGTAATTAAATCACAAAGTTCTTAAAATAAATGCCGGCTTATAATAACTCAAATCACACACACAGAAACACTCAAGCACATAAACCGCTCCTTTACCAAATATATTTTTTAACTCTTGACCGAGTCCCTCAATAACTTCTCTACCGAAGTTTTAGTTAAAATAAATTATTATTATTTTTTTTTTTTTTTAATTATTTTATTTATTTATTTATTTATTTATTTTTTTAAACTCTTGACCGAGTCTCGCAATAACTTCTTTACCGAAGCTTAGCTAAAATAAATATAGAGCCAGGGGTTTTCCACCAAACCCGAACTTGGCTAAACCTGCAAGTGCTTAACCACACTTGGCAGCATTATATAACAGTATTAAGCAAGTAGTAAAACAGATTCTCAAACAGACACTTTCACACATAAAACTCACACTCAGGACTCAGGCTGTAGATAGACAAGTGACAGGTTCTATATAAAAGGGGACATTCGGGCATATATATATTACCTGTCTGAAGACGTTAAACACCGGAAGCCGAATGTGAAGGCACGGAGAACAAGAGAAATCCAAAGAAAGGAAAATATAGGTAAGTAACTCATTTACCATATGCAGAGGTGATCAGGCTCCGTTTCCAATCTCTGGGAATCCTTTGCTCTCCTGTCTTGGGATCTGACGGCTGCCTTAGTAACGTATCCCTTAAATGCCCGCATTCTCCACCAAATTGTTTTGGATCAAAGAAAACTTTGATTATTTGTCTATCTACACCTTCCAAATTGATTAATTAATGCGTGCACGCTTTCCCTAGAAGTAATTCACACCGGAGACAAAGTTTCTGATCAGTGAAAAACCCAGGAATGCTTTATTCCCCGGAGTGGGGGCTCCTTCTTAAAGCAAAAATACGTCACAGTTTAAACATACAGTATACATTCACCAATTGGTTAACAGAGAAAGGGGGCTCTTGTTTAAACCCCCCCCGCCTTTTAAGGTGCCATTCATGCCATTCATGTAGTGTCATCATTACACACTTTTGGATACACGATGGGAGGGGGAGTGAGTGGTATCTATCAGTTCTAAACCAATGATCCTCCATTTAGCTATATATGGCATATAGCTGTTAACTGTCACAAAGGTAGTGGGGGGGGGGAGGCTAGCAGGATGTGAGGAATTTACATAGTAAACAGCAGCTGACCACATTGTAGGGGGGGAAGGGAATATTTACTCTAGAAGCCAGTTTTAACATAGTGAACAGAGAATAAATAGACATTAGTAAATAGCCATTTTATTTTAATTCATCTGTCCATAACAAGGGTATTGCCCCAGAATTACAATATTGTTTAAGTACCTCTTAGCTATTGATAACTGGTTTAAATATAGCAGCTTGTTATTTGGTAGTTTCTAGTGTAGAAAATATCAATCTGTTTTCTATCAATTAGATTTGTTTAACAAGTGTTGTAGGTGTGAAACAATATTACAAGTGACCGATGTAGTAAATTCGAATCAAAGTTCCATTTGCAAATAAAAATTCTCGCCCATCTTCTGTGGGTTATTTCATTTTTAAGATGTAGACTTATTGTATCACACTAGCCATGCGCAGGTAGATTGTCTGACACGTTGTTTTGGTTTTTAACTTTGTAGTTGTGTCTTTACACAATATAGAAATGTATATTAATGCTTCTGCATATAAAGCTATCACAATAATACTTATTTTTCACTTTTTTTAAAAAAATCAGGCTACACAAAAATTTGTAATTCACAATATGACACCTGAAAAGCACATGAAAGGATGCTGTATGATTTAAAAAAAAGAACACACTACATGAAGGTCCTGTTCACTAGAATGTGTAGTCATGAATGTAACCAGTAAAACTTTGTTTTTACAACCACTAGTTGGCCCATACATATTTTAAAACTTTTTTAATTGTGTTATAGCATGACTTGTAGTCTTGTTTTTAACTTGTCTATAATACATATTTGTATGACACTTAGTTTTTTTTCCCCACTGATTATTTAATTTTAATGGTCTAAAATAATAAACATGTCAACAGGCAAACGTAACCTGAATGATTTGTCTCAGTCTTGCCTTCTATACTACCTGTACCATAGGCAACATTTATTTGACTTTAGACTTTCTTGAGAAGCGGTAACTAGCCAGTGTTGCACAAATACACCAGATATGAAGTGCACACCCCAAATGTACTATTTAGCACCCAAAAAAAATTAGAATTTTTAAAACTGCGATGTAACCACAGTATTTGACGGTTCTATTTGACTCTCAGATATGAACTGCACACCCCAAATGTAATATTTAGCACCAAAAAAATTTGAATTTTTAAAACTGCGATGTAACACAGTATTTGACGGTTCTATTTGACTCTCAGGTATGAACTGCACACCCCAAATGTACTATTTAGCACCAAAAAAATTAGAATTTTTAAAACTGCGATGTCACAGCAGTATTTAAAAATCGCTACATGTTGCCCTCTGAGCTCACAGCAGTATTGAAAAATGTCTAGATGTTGCCCACTGAGCTACCAGAACAGGATTAAAGTAATGTGCCTGGCACATTAACAAACAGACTGATTATTTCTCTGTGGCACTGGGCTCAAAAATAATCGCTGTAGTTTGCAGATTACATAGTTACATAGCTGAAAAGAGACTTGCGTCCATCAAGTTCAGCCTTCCTCACATTTGTTTTTTGCTGTTGATCCAAAAGATTCAACACCAGAATTCTTTCCTAATCTGTCCCTCACAGCTGCAGCTTCCTCTCCCTACATTAATATCAGCTCATGTGACGTGCAGCGCTACGTCACTACAGCTTATATAGATGGGTCACATGCTGCACTGGCCAATCACAGCCATGCCATTAGTAGGCATGGCTGTGATGGCTTCTAAGTCAAACACTTGTTGATTGGCTGCCCTGCAGCTTTTCAAAATGTGCCATTAAATCGCCGAACACCGAACTCGAACTGTTACTGTAATGTCCGGGCTCGGGTTCAGGGTCCAAAAATTGTAATGTACGGTACGAACCCGAACTTTACAGTATACTTATTTTATATTTATTCTAGACATATCTGACTAGCATGATTTACGCAACAAAAACAAAATGTGTGCATGTAATATAAATGCCATGCCACTGTCTGAAAATGAATTATTTGCTTCGCTGTTATTGTGATGCAAGCTTATTTTGTATATTCTCTGCGCAACAAAAATAAAGAATTTATAAAAAAAAATAATAATAATACTTTAGAAAAAGAATGCAATATGTCCAACCATCAACTTGATTTAATTCTGGAGGGTATTTATCTAATTTTAGAAAATTAATTTTTCTGATGCGTTTTACCTCCAGATGACAGGCACAGCGATGGGGACTAGGTTTGCCCCCAGCTATGCTAATCTCTTCATGGTGAATTGGGAGGACTATGCCGTTTGGAGTGGGCATGGCTGGGGGTCAAATCTGGTTGTATATCGTTGCTATATAGATGACTTGTTTTTTATTTGGACGGGTCCAGAATCAGTTATGGCAGAATTTTAAATATCAAATATAGAGTAATTAAACTTAGTTCTAACCATAGAACTCTTAGACTTAGAGATCTTTGTGGAAAATGACATCTTAAAGACTCGCACTTTCTTCAAAAAGGTATACACTAACACTTTTATTGACCTTACCAGCTGCCACTACACTCCCTTGCTTAACAGTGTACCTAAAAGCCAACTTTTATGCCTCAAAAGAAACTGTACAGATAACACCGATTATAGAAATCAAGAGGAAATTCTTAGAACCAATCTAATCGAGAAGCACAAACCCTCTATTTTAGATAATTTAATTGAAAATATAGAAAGTTTAGATAGAGATCTTTTAGAATATAATATTAAAAAGGATAAAGATATCAGTCTTCCTATAATCCTTAATTATAATAACAAAAGAAACAAACACTGGAATATCCTAAAAGAAGGTGATTTGCGAAAGAAAATCCTCCCACCAAAACCTAATATAATATTTAGAGGAGCCCCGTGTGACAGATCCATCTGTATAACTATTATTGCTGGTTCGTCTAGTTTGCCTTCCTTTCTTGGAATTGCCTGTCCGTATACCCCTATTCGTATGTTTGACTTTTTACCGAATAAACTTACCGAACGGACGGCCACCCAGAAGAGAAGTGTGCTGCTGGTTAACCTCTTGATCCCAATTAGAACGTTGTGGTTAACCGCAGACACCTCTTAATTACAACCGAATTGTCGTTCGTATGTCGACCACGAGGCGGCGGCCATTTTAAACCATACGAAAGACCAGCGGTGTTCGGCGCAGATTCTGTGGAACTAAAAACGGACACTCTTTCTGCCGAACACCACTGAAACCCACAGACCGCCCTTCTCAGTCAACAAGGCATACGAACACCGGGCGTTCGGGAGGTTGGATTATACGAAAGGACTTAACCCAGATAGCCTTCCCATGGAGTCAATCGCATACCGAAAGACTGTAATAGACTTTGACTCCATGGCAACTGAACTATGCGTATGGGATCTGAGCGCTAAGAATATACACTCAGATCCAGGCTATCTGGGGATGTGTTACACGAATATAATATGTTCGGTAGTTGTGTAATTATTTATTTTTATGTGTTTTTCAGGCTTTATTTAAAATGGCGATTTGCCTCTGTCCTGGAGATAATTGAATTACTTCTCGATTATCTCCAGGGCAGAGGGGAGGAAAGCAGGATGCATTCTGGGAATATTATGTGCATGTATGTCTGGAAGTGCCATATGTCTGTCTGCCATTACAGTCTCCCATTTGGTCCCTTTGGGGAGTGTCCACCAAGTGGGAGACCTGCATAAATACGGGCGGGTAGCCCACAGTAAAGCCAGTTCTTGTTTTACCCTTAATGCGGAGCTTGGTCTCGTTATTGGGGGGATTTATTACCGACGAATAGAGACTGATAGCTGGAGCCAAAAGCCGCTTGGTGGATATACTTGTTCGGCGGCTAGCGACGATTCGTGGATTATTGTTCGGGAGTTTGGAGCACTCTTACGGATCCCATTCGGGAGATTGCCACTTTCCCCTGATTGTGGTTTGTACACTGAAGTATATACGAACAGAGATAGCGAGATTGCGACGGTGGAAGCTTAACTAAACGGCGGTTTCACTCATAGGCACCAGGGGTGTCTTAACACCCC